TCCTTTCGGAAAAAATGTGTTGAACATCAAGGTGATTTTCTATTGTAATTAACATAGATGTGGAGGTGCATGGTGACACAAGCCTGGCACCCCAGCACTTGGGAGACACACGCAAGAGGATAGGAGTTCAATGTCATCTTGACTATATATACAGCAAGTCTGAGGCCAGGCATGGACTACACAATAAGACCCTGCCTCAAAAGCAAAACAGAAAATTAAATGTTCTTTCATCTCAAAGAGGAACAAAGTAACCTATCAATGCTAGCTCACTGGGCCTTGTCAGAGGAAGACATGTGCCTGTCACCATGACTTTGGATAACAAACAACTTGATGAACACTTACAACTTGGCATGTCACAGCCTTCTGCCCCATACACATTTGGAAAGACCTTTTGAAAGGCAGGGCAGCCTACATGAATGCTTAGGATATGTATCTTTAGAGACTCACAGGTCCACTTTTGCCTCTTAGATATGGTTCATTCATATGGTTTAATGGCACATGGCACTTTAATAGTATCATCTATAACAGATAAAGATTTCTTAGCTTCACAAAGCTTTCATGACCATTTTAACCAGAACCATGATACTGATTAAAACCATCCTACAGAGTGCCTTAGCTAGAATGTGACAGTTAGTTAGTGGTCAAAATTTTCTATTCTTTTCTGGGATGCTACAGGAGGAACAACCGCAACAACTGGACTCAGAAATCAGCACCTGAACTAAATACAAATGGAGTAAGGTTTGATAAAAGCCTGGTAGGTTCATGACAAAAACCATGCTGTTGAATTCAGAAAGTTTCTAGAAGTAACTGTGCATCAAGCAATGGCCTTTTAAACTTTAGCATGGGAGCTTAAAAAAAAAAGCATTTGTAGCTATTTGACATAGAAAAAAAAGCAAGGTAAAAATAACTAGAAATAATTATAGCACATTTTTATGTTCTAAGTGAACGTGAACAACCAAAATAAAGAGCTCTACATTAACATGAATTAAAAGTCATAGGCATAACTATAGCAAGAGAACAAATGTAATATTATTCATTTGCCCAAATCGCATCAGATTATAATGTTGAAGTAATAATATAAAGGCAGGCAAATATTCACAGTTGTACCAATTATACCTAAAACATGACACTTTTGTTTGGGTTCAATAACCATTCCCTACTGGCAAACTTTCAAGGTTTTTGCACTTGATTCTGTATAACGCACTGATACTGGATTTTACTTTTCCTTGATTGTTTTTTATGTGCAGAACAATTTCAATTTAACCTTCAAAACTGAAAACGTCAATTCATATCTGAGTACTCACATGTTGTTGGCGTAAATGAGCTGGTTCTTGGAGCTCCTTGAGTAGTTGGGGGAGGCGGCATCGCTGGAGGAGTCAGCCTAGATTGTGTCTTCACATCCACAGGTGAGTCTGGCATTGTGGAGTGTTTCTCAGTACGATCTGGGAATGCCACCAGGAACACGTTATTTCACTCTTTAAACATCCCAGTTCTGAAACTGAGGTCTGCCTTTTTCAGAGGCACACAAATACAAGAAATTCAGTGTCTTCTATCAGTAAAATACGCTTATCTATGGAAGTTTAAAGCAGAATTTTTTCAATCAAGCCCCACTTGAGAAGGTGTAGCACAGATGGCGGGACCTCATTTGTAACCAGGCTATATAATACCCTATTGTTATTTCTGGCTTGGCAGATGCTGTCTTACTAGTGTTATATGCACCAGCACAACTTCACTCAAAGCTGAAGCCAACATTAGCAAGGAGTAGAAAACAGATGAAGAACACAGACGATAATGAACCC